TGTAAACCTTACCATCTGTTATAAACAAATTACCGCGGCTTTCTATAAGCGTTTATATTATTATTGACGGGATTAACATACAATCTATGTAATATTTAAAATATACTCATATTGTCGCAAAACATGCAGTTTAGCTGGAAAAGCTCATAATATATTTCTGGATAAATAGTTCGATTTATTGATTGGATTCCATCTTAAAAAAAAAGAAAAATAAAGACTACCGACCATTCGCTTTAAACTAGGTAAAACAAAAGCTTTAGAGTTAGGCGATGACAAAAAATACGAATTCAAGATACCAAAGCAATTTATCACGTCTCCTCCCCAGGATCACGTCACGTGAACGTTTTTATGTATGCCGGGTTTGGTTATTTATCGATGTGCCATAAACAAGTCTACTTAAACAAGCAGAGACACATGGCGAAGCTTTGCTATTTATTACATAAGTTGTCGTTGGTTCTTTGGCTGTAATACCTTTTGCCTTTGCCTTGTTTGTTTTAACAAACTAAACAAATTATGTTGTTTATGACCACATTATCATTATTTATAATATAGAGAACAATTTTTATATTATTTATTATTGTGTTTCATTTCCAAAATTGGACAGATTTTAATAAATCTATTTTTATATTACAAGTAATAATACTCAATAAAAACAATATAATACAAGAAAATGAGAGGTGAAGTTTTATGAATATTGTGACTCGGTCTTTGAATGACGAAATTAAACTATGTTAGATTTATAGTTTACAATAAATTTTCGTATGTAATATTATATATTAGTAGATATGTTCATTTTTACAAAAAAAAATATTTACAGGTATGGTCACTTTTGCCGTAACCTTTATTTAAAAGCATGTAATGTTAGTTTATTCTGTTTTTAAAGTTTTACCCAGACTTGGTGTTATTTTGTTTTCAGTTCCTCTAAGGCTAGTTGAAATTAGTTATCGATTGAGTTCAAATTCTCCATCTCCAAGCGCACTTTACAGTTCAGAGTAAACTAAATGTAGAGAAAATCGGAATGCTGTTTTGAATACTTGTTAAATACTATTTTACGTTTGTTATTTACTTAAACTTACATAAGAAGTATACTGGAAGTAGTCAAGTGCAATAATTTAGAATCTGTAACAGAAACAGCGGGTTCAATTCTAGCTAAAGAACTTAACTTTCTAATTAAAAAAATAATACAGCTTAATTTGATACTTTAAATTCAGCGAGTAGGTGAGTGATATTTTGCTATTTTGGGATATTTTACAATTGTTACTTGCCTATTACAATATTTATTTTTGGAACTGTGGAATGGAATGAAAACATGGGTTTTTGGATGAGAGGGATGAGAGTAGCGATTAGACGTTATTTTTTGTCAACAGTCTCCTCAATTGAAACTTAGGCAGATTGTGACAAGTCTCCTACTAGATGAGCCCCTATAAAATGGCGTACTACGTGTTTGACGTAATATTAGTGTAACTAAAGAGGTTGCATCGGCTTTGAAATTGTTCCGCTATTACGCAGATTGAGCAGTTTAAACCATTTGCTTCTTGCATAGCTTCTCCGCTCAACTCCGAATCAGGACATAAGGCATAAGCGGAGGATTGTTGTTGTTTCCTAGAGATCTCATGTCCATGGTGTCGCCACTTACCAACAACTCGGTTTATGATGCCTTGGGATTATTATAATTACATATAAAATATGTAATTGAATCGAATCTGTACATTAAATATTTTTTGGAAAATCTTACTGATATAGTGATTGTAAACGCGCGGACACACCGGCATTACAATTAACAATAGATTTCTTAGAAATTTAAATATTTCTTAGAAATTTACCTGGAGGTGTTAAAACGTAACTAGGGACGAACTCGAGCGACAACGACGACGAGGAGCGAGTGTACGATAGTTGAAAATAATCGAGCCGCAAACTTTAAAAGACACATGTTGGTGGAACATCACATTTTTGTTCAGACGTTCAATTAATCAATTAATTTAGACAATCTGTGGAATTATTTCACTGATTCTTATTTTTCTTCGTAATAGAAAGCTACTGTTGCTTACCGACTGCAACTGAAGTATCATTAGACACTTACAGCTAGTGATAACTATAGATTAGTACTTGATTTACATAGTGTAAACAGAGCCGATGTCTGATGCGACCAAAACAAGTTCTATCCTATACTATACCTAAACTCTTTGGCTTCTCTCCAATTATAAAAATTGATAGAAAATAATATAACAACTAAAACAACGTAACCTACTACACTACTATATAATAAGAATAATAATATGTTGGGAAATTAACACACAACACCATCTAGATCCATGGTAAGCTACGAGGCCTGTGTTATGGATACCGGATAGTTGATACATTACACATATATATCTTTAAATACATACATATTATAAATATAAACACCCATGTTTGGAGTACAAACATTCGTGCTTATCACAGAAATGAATGCCTCCAGCGGGACTCGAACCCGCCACCGCTGGCACAGCGAGTAGGGTCGCTACAAACTGAGCCAAACGTGTCGTCGACTATATCGAATACTATTATATGTATTACCTACACTATAAACCATACAGCTATTTTAATAAAAATGGAAAATTATTTAAAATTTCTATATGAATTTCACTTTGAAATGTTTCACTTCAACAAATGCGTCTAGTTTATTTCAATCCACTCGCACAACACTACGCTGAAACTATAAAGAGGTAGGTACAAACAAATACTGAGTGCGCATATTATTTGTTAAGAGGCCAAGAGTTTTCTGTACCGTATTTTCATTTTTATAAATTACTTGCGATTTACATAATACTTTCTTAGATTTACGCGAATATTTGACATTTTAAATACCCCGTGACCATGAATGCTGTAAAGCATTCGAAACCTCGGGAACCAAAAATCAAAATAAATCCGCGAAATAATCCGAAAAGATAGTTTTACTTACGATTTCATTAAAATTTTAAATAATGTCAATATTATTTGTGTTTATCTCACACTTTTATAAAGAACGCTTAATATCAACACCTCCAGGTAAATTTCTAAGAAATTAATTAAAATTCTAAGAAATCTATTGTTAGCTGACACGCCGGCGTGGCCGCGGTCGTGGAGGGATTGATCGTCTCTAACTTAAAACTTAAGATATTTTTCTTATTTAGAGTAGGTATGAGTATCTACCGTCGTAGTTGAATGCATAAGCGATCCTGCGACGCCCCATTAAGACGGGGGAAGGTTTGGTTGGGTTTTAGTGGGTAGTACTGGCTTTGCCGGTGAGTCCCACACCTCGTGCGTAAATGCATTTCCCAACGTTAAAAAAAAAGGTATGAGTATCTACAGATTGAAATTGAAAATTCATAGAAAAATTTCAGTCATTACTATAGAAGTTTTACTTCAAGGTCTGTACCTACTTGTGTTTGTGCTATTACCACATAGATAGTAGTAGAATATCTCTAGAGACAAAGCTTCATAAAAACCCTCAATAACAGTCGTACTTGTAGCTACACTAGCTAGTAGTATTACTGCACGAGGCGATGGTGTGTGCGTTTTTGTTTGAGTGTGACGCGTTTGGCTTGACTTTGTCAACAGCTTAAACAAAAAAAAAACGGGTTTGTCAACGGGCACCGCGTACGCGAACTCTTAGGTGAGCTGACACGTACCACAGATAACATAATACTATACTAGTACAGATGCCTCATTTTATACAATGAAACTGGACATCGTTAATTCGGGCTATTTTAACATGCTTTTATTAGTTCCTTCTGTATGTTTGTAACGCAATCTTTGAACGCGATTTTTACCCACTTCAAAACTTCAGATTGAACTGAAACTTGGCTTTAGTGTGAAAAATGCGTGGGATGCTTTGTACAATATTTTTATACTAACTCTACTTTTAGAAATCTTACCAATGGAATATTTATAACAACTGATATCGAGCACCCCACTTTTTACTTTTTAGTTCGGTTCATCATTAAAGCGTGTTTTTAAGTTTTGCTTATATAGATATAATACATATCATTAATCCCTCTACAACCGCGGACACGCCGGCGTTACAGTTAACAATAGATTTCTTAGAAATTTAATTAATTTCTTAGAAATTTACTTGGAGGTATTAATCTGCAAACTGTTGAACTGTTTTTGACAACAGAAGTGAAGACTCCCTTGTATTAACTATCAAGAATCTATCAGTCTGTAAAATTTAGGTTTGTAGATTACAACCTCTGAGATTCCATGATTGATCAGTGAGCGAGTGGTATTTTGCTTTTGTGTGCATATAAATTAAACATCTATACTTCAGATGACTAGCTTTTATTTCCGATTTCAGAACTGTAGCTTGCAGTGGTGAAGAGTCCATACAAGACGTCTTACTCTTACCTTAAAAGTATTTTGCTATAATTTTACATACATTTAATTTATTAAATGTATAAATGTTCTTTTGGAAACATATATATGCAATAATAGCTTTATTTCTTTCTGCATTAATACTTATATAAAAATTGTATATTTTTGGAACGGCTTACCTCTGCTAAAATTTCACCCTTCACCACTGTGCTCGTAATAATTTTAACTGAGTCAAATCTGTACATTAAATATTTTTTGGAAAATCTTATTGAAATTGACATTATTATCGATACAGAGGCCGAATCTATACTTTTTAGAATTTTTGTCTGTCTGTTTGTCAGTCTGTCTGTTACCGCATCACAGAAAAACTACTGGATGGATTTTGATGAAGTTTGGTATGGTTATAGTTGATTATCCAGGTCAACATATAGGATACTTTTAACGGAAAATATCTCATTCCTGAGAACAAATACAAAAACTGCATTGTAAGAGTATACTAATATGTAAAACCTAAGAATTTGGTTTTTGCTCATCTGAACGCGGGCGGAGCCGCGGGCAATGCTAGTTTCAGTTATAAATTGTAGAATATCTACATATAAATATATGTCAAAGTGATTGCAAGTAACCCTCCACTTCCAACTACGTTCATGCTACGGTGGGTACAAATAATGACACAGTATGGCGGCGATATGAATGCATACAGGGCTACAAGTTTAAATAGAATTGCCAGCAGGTCTGTGAAACTATATGGTAGCAGTATATGTATGTATGTATGTATGTATCTATAAGCATGTTTGAAAAAATTGTTATGGAGACGTTTATGGGCTGTAACTACTAGAGAAAAAGTTAAAAGCTTATTATTAAACTAGCAAATTACACTCGCTTTGTTCGTGTTCTTCATTTAATGCGCGGCTTTAACGCATCAAAAGTCGGTACAGTTCCCTAGTTTTAGTAACATTCGGTTTTAATAGCTCACAATAAACTACACCACTCTATTCCTACCAAACGCAGAGCAGGAACTTAGACCAATGGATGTTCAGCTTCGCCAATGAGGTTTATAGTTGCCGGGCTTAACCCATGACGTTCTGAGTTTAGGATTGTCGTAATTGATCCATTTTTCATGACCAGTGACAATTCGATGTAGAAAATCTTTCCTTTTCTCCCGTCAAAGCAGAAGCTCACAGATCAAAAAATTCCTTTCAACGTCCCTCGGTTTTACTTCATGTGGGACCCAATTTCCTTCTACTACGACTAATACGCATGTTCCATATAATAGTAAAAACAGTGATCTTTTTATAATAAATAGAAAAAAATTATAATTAGTAAGAGTTCGTGTAGGTATAGCCAACCTTTTCAGTGTACCCAAGGAGGCATTTAAGCAAACTTCTAGCCTTCAAACAGATGTGATCGTCTTACTACACGTGGCCCGTTGGGAGATGCCGTGACATCGCAACGAAAATACCTTTAATATCCGTACAGTGACATTTTCCTAATGTTAATGAATTGCAGCAGGGCTTACTTTCTACCTTTAAATAAGCAGTTATAGGGATATTCAGGGTGACATATCTTTCACTTTGGTCTAGTGGATAGCTTATATGGGGAACTTTAACATGATGTCCTGAAATTAAGTCCCGTGTTGGGTTATAAAGTTATTGGGGTTTTCGTTGAGCTACTCTCGCTTTCGTTTCTTTTGAATCTTGGTATTAGTCCTGCGTCTGACCTCTCTCCAGTTATGACTCGATGAGCTTCGTCCTATCAAAATGTGAGACTGACGGAATAGAAGATGCACCTGTACTTGTAGCTCTGTGGGACAGACGAACTGCACCGAAGTATCCACAGCAAGTTGAATTTCTGCTGAAGTCTTTAGCTACCATGACTGATATTGTACTTCCGGCGTTAGAAACTACCAATTAAATTGAAAATTAGGAATGGAATAGTCAAAATTACTTTATCTCAAACTATTCAAAGGACATTCACATATTCTTAAATCAGCAAAAATCATAAGCCCCTTGTTGTAACAAAGGCGTTTAAGAAGTAAAAGTTTCTTTTGCAGTAAATTTTTAATTAACATAAATACCTTATATGAAGAGTAGGAGGCATTGTTGTATTTGAAATTCGTATATCTTATAAAATGAGGAAAATGTAAATGAGAAGAATCTTACAGGGTAAGGGTGGATCTTCTAGGGGTCGAACGAGCCTTATGTCAGCGGAACGCCCCTACAGAAACCAGTAATAGATTAGATCTAAGAAAATATTGAGCCTTTTATTTATCATAAATTAATAATGTTTTCTGTGATTTGCAAGACGGATTGGCTGAACTTATATTCAAATAATTTTGTTGCGTAATTGACAGTGTAGATCATTAAGATAGTTTACGGTAAATTGTTGTGAGTGCGAGAGAGATAGAAACAATTAGGATTACAAGATTATTTTCCAATTTTCTATATTTAGAAAGTTTTTACTTATGCATGAAAAATGGAGTGAAGTGATATAGTAAGTGAAATTAAAGGCGAAAAATAGTGGTCAGCAATTAATTTTAGGTGGTACTGTGCAAGTTATTAGTAACTGTCGTGTTTGTAAAATCATTAAAAATCTATAGTGCAAGTGAACCAATGTAATTATCGAAAATATCATGTAAATTACAATAATACATAGTACACAATAAAAGTACATAAAAAAACAACTTAATTGTATTGTGTACATATCATCTATGACTCTACAGCCACAGAACGGTATTGTCCTGATCAGGAACATCTTTCCAGTCCTATCTACGAGTATTTTCAGCATTTTCACCAATCCTCAAACCAAAAGATTTTTTTTATTAGATTTCAAAATCTACTACACGCCGTCTAGTCTAGCCCTAGAGTATCGACGTCTTTGAACATCCATATTTTACTTTCTAATACCTACATGTCTTATTAAGTGTCTTGCTCCCGTATGCATCCAATCTTGATGTTCTTAACTTGGTCGGACTTCTCATACATAATATGAAAGAGCTCGTAATTATATCGCCATCTCCTATCCTCCAGGACTGTACCGAAATTGTGTTTAATAAAGTAAAATGTATACTAAAATAATAACATCGCGTATTCATACATATAAAATTATTAAAGCAAAATTTCGGTATACTCGTATTAGGTCTGCAGTTATTTATAACCGTATCAAATTATTACTCAATCAGTGCAACATTTTAGTCCAATACGTTCATTCACTGAATGAGTTTGTATTTGATACTGGCCACTATCACAAGGCAATATATTTTAATGTTCTAAATCCACCGCAAATTCCAATATTACAATTTTAATTATTAGCATTAACATTATGTTGCTTGATAGTAATAAATAACCAATAATAACATCGTACGCAAACGCGTCCCTAGTGAATCCCTCTCATACTCGTATGTATCTCAATACGGTTTCAGTTGGAACATAACATTTTGACTAAAAATGGATACCGACTTCAAAATCTCTTTAAAAGATATTCTAAGTTAAATACCAATTCTAAGTTCTTATAATACTTTCTTAGATTTACGCGAATATTTGACATTTTAAATAAAACTATCTTTTCGGATTATTTCGCGGATTTATTTTGATTTTTGGTTCCCGACGTTTCGAATGCTTTATAGCATTCATTGGTCACGGTAGAGACCTTAATTTTAATAGCATAAATTTTATGGTATTGATTTTATCGCTGTCCACTATTGGGCGAAAGCCTTTAATAAAATGATTTCTTTTAATTTTTTATGTACTGTAATTAAATATTTTATCCCGCTCTTATCGTGTAGTTACAGTAACTCATAATTTACAGAACCTCTCAAACTTATTCATTCAAAGCTCGTGGCCTATTTCTAAGTGTAAACTACGGCGCTCTCTCAATCCTGGGGTAATAGCCTTACTATATTTACGGCTGCAAATAACTTTATAGGCATAATAAAATCTGTTTCAACCGCACTAAATTGTATCTGAATTACCGATTTTAGGTCCTTTTCACGTGAAGTAATTAGGATCTTTTTAGTTATGGTAGTATTGTTTTGTAACTTGTGTGTAAAAGACCTTAGTTCCTTATGCCAATTAAACATTTACTGTGAGAGTCGCCTTCGGCAGAGACAAACATTCGGGGAAGTGAAAGTGGGGATCGATACTAATACTGGTACACGTTTTTTTATGTTTTTAATATTTTAATAGTTTTGATGTTCTGATTTATTCATTGATTCAGATAACAGATATAATTATATGTTCATTATTACTTTGTCTGCTTTCTTTTTAATACAATATTCGTATATACAAATGACAGCGACGAAATGAAAAAAAATCTTATTTTGATTTACGCCAATATTTGACATTTTAAATAAAACGGAAAATATCTTTTCGGATTTTTAGTGGATTTATTATGATTTTTAGTTCCCAATATTTACTACCTAAACTGAAAGTAATTCCGCGAAAAATCCAAATAAGATAGTTTTATTTAAAAGTGCTAAAACACTTACTATTTTTGGATATTTTGTCTTTTGTTATATAATGTACACAGTCCGTAAAATTTTATAGGAATGCGTGTTGTGTGAATGTTGTCAGGACTGGACGCTGGAGGAGACTGGGGAGCAAGTAGTGACGTGATGTTTTGCATAGAGGTACTTTATGGAACAGAGAGTAGTGATAGGTAATTTTTATCTCCCATGGAATATAAAAGATACTAAAAAACGTCTGAGCAAAGGACGGATGTCACTCGTAATATTTAAAGAATACACTATTTCATTGAACGCAATATTTTAGGGTTCCGTACGCGAACGGTGCCAACTGGACCCTATTTCTAAGCCTCCACTGTCCGTCTGTCTGTCAGCGGGTTGTATCTCACGAACTGTAATAGGTAATTAGCTTAGATGAAATTTTCACAAAGTGTGTATTTCTATTGCCGCTATAACATTGAATAATTTATTTGTTTCCTTGTTCATTTTATATTCATATATGATAGAAAATTTAGCGTGTAGAGTTTATTTCTTATGTTTGCTCTTTACTATACCACTCACAACTGTATTTTTTGCGTTTAGTAGCTTCCGCATGCTAACAGAATTATCGTAAAACTTTTATCAACTCTCCAATGGGATTATCTCCATTTCCCCGGAATAAATGTAGCAATCTGAAAATTTCATAGAGATGAATCATTTCTATGTACTTAGTTATTTTGTTCTAAGGTTTAGCTAGTGTACTTAGAAAGCTAGGATGAGACGTTCTGAAATTTCTTTTTATTATTTGCTCCACAGACTAAAGTGGTGTTGCGTAGAAACCATGCTTTTTAATCAAACTACTCTTATAAATGCAAGTGTTTGTATATGTATGTATGTTTGTTATACCTTTATGCTAAAACGGCTGGACACATTTGGATAAAAACCAAAAAACACAGACTATAACTTGGAGCAATATATATGCTACTGTTAGGCCCCGAGAGGGGCACACGAGCGAAGCCTTGGTAATTCGCTAGTATCCAATTGAGTTATTAAAAATTTCTTGACCGGCTGAGTTCTATACAGTATATTTGATCATGCCATAGTTTCTATGTAAATCGTTTCTCTATTTGTATGTGGACGCCTTCAGATGCCATTTGTATGGGAAACGCTAGCATTGTGCGCTTGTTCAAATATTCATATTGCATATTATGGGCACATGCTCTGGATAGTCTGCTCTATTATAGTGTATTAGTTTTAAACTGGTCGTGTTGCATAATTTGTTTGATTTGTTGTAAGATAAAAGTTGGTTATTAAAATTGTCATTATTAGTGCTGAATTAAATTGTACCTTCTTTGGTTTTTTTAATTTATTTATATGGATCTCCAACAGTATACATAATTTTTTACATTTACAATATAGCTACCTAAATCTAATTTATATTTTTATGTATTTCTAATTGTAGGAGAACACATCATTCGCAAAAAACTGTGTTTTATAATGCCTAAAAGTACTAATTAAAAATTCAAAAAAAAATTACAAAAAAAAAACAAAATAACAATAATTAAATTAAACTTAACACTTATATTAAAGAAAATACTGTAAAACTTATAATCGATCGAGATCCCACTGCAAGATTGCTACGTAGGTACATAGCGTATTTAATAAATATAAGCAGGCACATTTGAATAGGCACCCCTATCAAAACATATTGCCCCTTTTATTATTGTATATAAAAATTGATTTCGATTAAATACGCTATGAACGTAGCAATCTTGCGGTGGGATCTTAGTCCATAAAAAACACTTTTCACATTTTTTTATGAATTGTGAGAGCCCATCACAACCAATGTCCAAAGATGCCATTTAATTGCCGTTTTCTTTAATATCTGTTGAAAATTATGAATTTACGTGAGTTTATTGAGCTGACTATGACTGTGTTCAAATGATGTTGTACAATACAACATGTACTAGGTACACGTTTTTTGCTGAGTAAGTTTTCATTTAGCATGTGTGAAAAATGGAAAAAGGGGGTAGGAGTAAATTTGATTTATTTATTATTATTTATTTCAGACTTTAATCACATTGTAATTCAAAAACTTTTATTATGTTTCAAATATGTTTGTTTTACATCGAAATATGACTTCGAAAACTTACTTACTTTATATCTTTACTAACGACTTACCTTCGCTACGGTCGAGTTTGTTCCTAGGTTGATTCCCCATACATACTTTCATTTCCATTTTCATTCCCTTAAGGGATGATTTCCGGACTACAACTATCATATGTTCTTCCCAGACTCTCAAACTATCTTCTTACTAAATTTCACCTAAATCGTTTCAGTAGTTCCAGAGATTACTTATATCCTACAAACAAACTCACAAACTTACAAAACTTTACCTCTTTATAATATTAGTATAATACTACCTAGGTATGTTTTAATTTTTTTGTAAACATCAGCTATCTTCAAGTGA